ATTACCGGTTTCAAGCCTTTTTTTATAGTAATTAATTCCTGATTAATATAGGAAGGGAAGCAGAGATGGATGTTGGTGTTTCTCTTTCTCCCTCTTCCCCCTCTCGTGTGTGTGTGTGTGTGTGTGTGTGTGTGTGTGTGTGTGTGTACGCGCGTGTATGGGTGTATCTGTGTTGTGTGTAAATGCACAATTGAAAACAAAAGAGGGCATCACATCCTTTGAGGCTGGAGTGACAAGTGTTTGCACAATATTTGCCTTATTGCATAGGTGTTAGGATCCAAACTCCAGTCCCAACTCCAGTCCCTGTGATTGTACAGCTTCTCTTAAACCACCAAGCCATCTCTTTAATGCACTTCCTTTTTTAAATTCAGTGTAGTACCCCAGCCTATGAAATGATATTAACATCTATGGTAGATCTTGCCACCTAATTAATCTGTGTGTAAACTACTTTATAGATATGCCTACAGATTCTGGTTCCTGCCATGCTTTGACAGACAGTATAAGCCATCACGACTTCCAAATTATAAACATTTAAATTCTAAAAATACTATCCTGTTATGTGTTTTTCTTTTTTATCTCATTTTGTTTTTACAGCACTTGGAATTGAACTTGGGGCTCTGCCCATTCTTGGCAAAGTGCTCTACACTGAACCACACCCGAGCCCTTTATTGTTATCTGTCCTCCTTCCCTCTCAGATGCTGGAAATTGTGAGTCCAGGGCCTCTGTGCTCTATGACTTGGGCTGTATCCCTGACCCTGTATCTGCCCTCCAATTACCTCCCCCCTCCAAAAGACATCCAGGGCATATATTTGATGCATGCAATGTAACCTATTTTTTGTTTATGTTTCCTTCTCTTCATGTCAGACCTTTTCCCGCCTTCAGTTTGTTTTCTTTCTTAGCTAAAATGTTGAGGAATGTCTTGGATGTTCAAGAACCTGTAATCATAGCAAATTTTGTGTCCACTTTCAATTTTTAACATAACAAGTATAAATTATTCCACTTGATTTTTTTTTTTTTTTTTTTAAGCATCATACGAGGAGGACAAGAACAAAAGCTACTTGGCATATTTCAAACAGAGAGGAAATGGTTTATTTAGGGTGCTAGATTACAAATTCCTTATATATTTATTATTTGTTTGTTTTATTTATTTAAAAGGAGACAGGGTTTCTCTGTGGTTGTGGAGACTGTCCTGGAACTAGCTCTTGTAGACCAGGGATCCGCCTGCCTCTGCCTCCCGAGTACTGGGACTAAAGGCGTATGTCACCACCACCCAGCTAGATTACAAAGTTTTGAAGGGGTCGGAAGAACAGAAGGGGAAAAGAGAGATGTTTCCAGAGGCAGGAAATGAAGAATGTTTCTGACTGGTAGGAGTTAAGTCCTGTTTCTAGCCGCCATCTTCTACCCCACTGCCATATAGCTATTACAAGAGCTTCTAATTATTTCTGGATACCGCACTGGAAGATCTCTCTCTCTCTCTCTCTCTCTCTCTCTCTCTCTCTCTCTCTCTCTCTCTCTCTGTGTGTGTGTGTGTGTGTGTGTGTGCAGAGCTCAGGACCTGCTGGGCTTTTTTTTTTTTTTGCTTCCTTTCCCTCTTCCTCCCAAACCCACCTGCCCTGCAGGTCATAGAGAGACATGTGTGTGGCTAGCTCCTGCTGTCAAGCAAAGGACAGGTGCTGTCCTGATGGATTTCGGGCTCATGCCTTTACAGAGTTCGAAATTATATTAATTACTTGCATTCTCAGGCAGAATTGCTCACTTCTGTATTGATCTCTTTTGTCATAAACCCTTGGAGCCTCCATGGGGGCCTGAAGGTGTTTAAAATGTATATGAGAAGCACCAATAGCTTGGTGTGCAGTGGAGGGTTTTGCTGCTCTGTAGCAGCATGATCAAGAGAAGAAGGGGTTCTTTTCTCCCATACTTTTTTATCTGGTGTGGCTATCATTGGCTGCCTAATTGGAATGGAGTTTGGGAATGTAGGTTTAGCCTTCTATTTGTTCTGTTTGGGGAAGAATGTAGAGAAGAGCAAGAATGGCTAAATGCTAGCAGTCACAGCACCTCACCTCACATGTTTATAAGCAAATCTGTAGCTGGCTAAAATGTTAGTGAATGCTCTAGAATTTTAGTGAATGTCCAGCAATTTGGAGTTATTTAATGTAAGGTTATAAAAGTTTGGCATCTGCAGTAGGTTAAGAACGTTTTGTATGATTATGAAAAGTATTGTGGAAGTCTTGATAGTGCTTAACTTCATTTTAAAGTGTAGCTTAGGTCTGTCTTTTCATGTCTTTCCTTCTTTTGTTGAATACAGAACAAATTTTGAATTCATCTAAGAAATTGTACTAGCAGTGGTTTTAATATTGTGTAATGTATTGGCAAAGACATTCAAGAATTGGATTCTCCTCCTTCTTCTTCTTTTGCTCCCTCTCTTACCTCTCCCTATCCTCTCTTTGTTTAGAGATGAGGTGTCATTGGTCTCCAACTTTTGAGCTCCTGGGTTCTGTGTAGACCAACCCAGCCTTATTATTTTTTCTTGTATGAGCATGAATGTGGGTGCATGTGTGCTCCAATATACATGTGATGGTCAGAAGACAACTCTTAGGACTTGGTACTTTCCATCTGCCATCAGATTCAGAGATTGAACTCCGATTGTTAAGTTTTATGTGTCAAGCTCCTGTGCAATCTTAGCTTTTTAGCTGCTGTGAAATCTTTCTGGCCCAAGAAAATCTGATATTGACAAGATTTGAAAGTGGTAGGACTAAAGGCCAGCAGTTGATTTTGGCTCCTTTTCACTAAACATTATTTAAAATGGGCTAACTAGACAGGGAAACCCCAACAAATAGGGCCTTTCATCCAGTTTTGCTTTGAAACTGCAGCTCTGAGAATGCCAGTGGATTGCAGGAGATTGGGATAGTGAAGGTTGAGCAGCCAGCCACTAGATGTCACTAACATTCTAGACCACCTTCTTGCAGGAGACTGCACACCTTATTTTTGTATTAGTGTTTCTAGCTTTACATAAGTGCGGTATTTTCATATCTACCTGGTTGGGTTCGAAACTTTGTAAGACAAGAATCCCTTGAAAAACTCCTTAAAGAACTGACCCAGCACTCAAGAAGCAAAGGCTGGTGGATTTCTTTGAGTCCAAGGCCAGCTTGGTCTACGTAGTAAGTTCTAGGACAGCCAGAGCTACAGAATGAAACCATGTCTCAAAGACAAATAGCAAAACACTCCTAAAGAATGAGTTAGTTTTTGTCTTGACTTGAGCATACAACTAGAATTGAGTACTAGCTGCGGTAGTGGGCTTATGAAGGCAGCTTTTAAATCTGACAGTAATAAGCAGCATGTTGCTATGCATACACACTGAAAGATGTCCAGGGTATGTTGAACTTTTGGATATACTATTCTTAAATGTAAAGACTGAAAAAAATCATTATTTAGAGCCTTACCTGTGCTAAATACACAAGTAAATTTTGTATGTAGCATATGTGTGAAGGGCCACAGAGATTGGAAATCAACGGGTGGTGATGCACACCTTTAATACCGGCACTTAGGGAGACAGAGGCAGACAGGTCTCTCTAAGTTCAAGGCCAACCTAGTCTACAGATTGAGTTCCAGGACAGCAGAAGCTATACACAGTGAAACTCTGTCTCGAAAAACAAAGCAAAATAAATTAGAGGCCAATGTAGATACATTAAACTGCAGCTTAGAAGGGAGAAGTAGGGTATCTGAGGCAGAAAAGGCAAGTTTATGTAAAGAGATTAGAAAACAAGATATCAGCCTTTATCAAAATCCTTTAATACAAAATGTGGAGTTGTTGAGGGTCAAGTGTTGATAATACAGAAAGTGAATAGACTATGTATAAATGTAATTTTGAGGAAAATCTACAAAAAAATACATGTGATTATAAAGTTCCTAGATAAGTTATTTACTTGCTATATAAGAACAGTTGGTTTGACACTTATAGATTTAACATTTCTGTTATTTTTCTTCATAAATAACCTTAGAGATTCAAAATGTGGTTTTTCCCAGTTCAGAATGAGTCTGATAGCTAAAAATGTTCTTGCCAGCTGCCCAGCTTCCCATCATAGGAGACCTGTGATTTTTTTGATTCATTGTTCCTGTCATTATGTGATAAATTCTTTCCTGTAACATAGCATGTTGAAGAATGTGGGCTAAATCAAGATAGATGTTTGAGAAAATGGTCTTGAAAGAGTGAGAAAATGGTTTTGAGAGAGTGGCTGGGCCTTGGTTATAACCAAGTACCCCAAACTTAATCTTTAGCATGGAATGGGGATATTTAATGACAGTCTTTAGACTTTGTTACATAAAAATATGTGATCTCTTTGATATGAACAGAAATTAACCTTTTTGTTGGTGGGAGACAGGGACTCACTCACAGTAGGCTGGCCTTGAACTTGCTAAAGTCTTCCTACCTCAAGACTCTTGGGTGCTATGAGATCTCACACCTAGCCAGATGTGAGGATTGATGAACATATTTCTCTCCTTTATAATATCAAGGCTTCTGAATGGATTCAATTAGGAGAAATATGCTAGTATTTGGGCAGCTGTTAATGTCTAGTAAAGAGTCTAAGGAGTTTAAAACCATACTTGATTTTAAATAAATAGGAAATCAAAGGGGTCTTTTAGATTTTAATAGTTTTAAGAAAATTCTCTAAATATAGACAACGAGCTAAGGAGTTCCATAGAAGGTGACTAATTCTAAATGTATTATACATGACTGGAAAGTAACTGCAAGCAAGACTTGAGAGCTGAGCTACCTCGGTATTTTTATCCAGTGTGTGGGGTGTTATACATGCATCACAGCTATATTAGAACTATCACATGGGACATTTGAGAAGAAAGACAGAGGCGTTTGAAAGGTTTCTGTGCTTGCTTTCTTAGTCAGAGGCTGTATTACTTGGCATTCAACAACGAAAGTCAGAATCTAGATATTAAAAGGTGAATTATTTTCAAAAACAAAAATAATTTACTTTAAATTATTTCAGGAAATGGAAGATAAAGTGACTAGTCCAGAGAAAGCTGAAGAAGCAAAGTTAAAAGCAAGGTATCCACACTTGGGACAAAAGCCTGGTGGTTCCGACTTTTTAAGGAAACGATTGCAGAAAGGGGTAAGTTGAGTAACATCTTTCCCTCTGGGGGAAATAAACTCAGTATGCTGGCAGACTGTGAGATGAACATCTGCTTTTTTTTTTTTTTTTTTTTTTTTTTTTTGTCTTTGTGCTTACCAGGTGTGTGTGTGTGTGTGTGTGTGTCTTTGTGTGTGTGTCTTTGTCAGTATTTTATATGGTTCATACCAAAAATATGTATGAAAAGAATCAATTATGGTGTTTTAAATTATAAAGTATTTCAAGTATACAGCATAGTACAGATAATAATGTAAAAGAATTCCTGTAACCACCACCTTCATTTAATAGTGATATTTTGTCATCGTACTAAGAAAATAAATGTAGACATAATTCAAACCTACCCTGTATTTTCTGTATGGTCCCTTTCCCTCTTCAAAAAGAACCAAGTCTAGAAACTGGTGTTTTTACCCCATCACCCCATTAAATCTTACCTATTGGAAAGCAAGCCCTACACAGCATCTAGAGGCTTAAGATCCTTTGTATTTGGATGAAATGATCACTTGCAAAATCATCTAATTTGCTTCGTAGTTTGTTCCTTTAATCTAATTTACATGTTATCATTTGAATAGATGAAATTACTGAAAACATTTCTTTATTTCTTAGCACTGGAATAGTAGTGCTACTTGTTGTTTTTTATTTTCTCTCAATTCCTTCTTCTTGAAAACAATAGGAAAATTAGAATTAAAGCACATTTGAATTCTTTACCATGTAAGGATCAGAGAATGATGAAGTGTATGTGGAAGTCAATTCTTACTGTATAAGATGCTAGATTTTTGTTTCTCTTTAAGTAAATACCCTAAATGTATTGGTATCTGCTACCTACACACAAAAAAACAGGTCTGTAGGTGTGTACCATAGTACATAGGGACTGTTTTATCAACTCAAAACTCCAAAAATGATTTTTAATAAATGATTTTTAAAGGTATCAACAAATAACATGTTTCTTTTTAACTTGTGTAATGAAAGGATTCACATAATAATATGTGGACAGTTATATTCAATTTAGAAAATGCAAATTTCCTGTGCCATAAAACAGAATCTAGTAGGGAAATTATTCCAAAAATCAGGCACCTTAAAAAACATTAGCATGACCCTAAATAAATTTAACAGAGGAAATACAACTGTTAAAACAGAAGTTGTTTACATCCATGATAGAAATCAGTGAAATTTCATCAGACTAAATTCAGCCAATATGGAAAATATTTAGAATAATATCTACTTGGAATTAAATGTAACTAATGGATTACTTGTTTTGTATAAACATTAAAATCATTACTCTTAATTTTGGAAGTGTTTTATGGGAGATTCATGGAAGTATTTACATTATTTGACTAATTTTTTTATAAATGTAAGGATATAATTCAGTATGAAAAAAATACCTTGAAATTTGAAGCTTTTTTCCCCTTTTAAAGCTTTTACTATAATTAGAAGCAGCGTCATTGTTCAACATTAGAGAAATAATAAGTTATAGTCAGTCAACAAAATAGAATATGTGGTATTTATTTAAAATCATGATTGTAAGATCATGTAGTGGGTAAATAGAAATAGCAAAGTAAGAATTGCATTCATTGGGAATCTAGCTATACAGAATGTGCATGGACTGTCTACTTACAGAACCATTGTCTCGAATGAATGAATGAGTAAATACATGTATGCAAAAAGATGCTTTTGTAAGAGTGCCTTTGTAAAGTATGTTTTATTTGGTTTTAAGGGGTTTGTTTTGCTTGAGATAATCTCACTATAGCTCACACTGGCCTGGGGCTACTAAGTAGCCCAAGCTGGCCTCAGGCTTGCTCTGATACTCCCGCTGTACAGACTCCAAATTGAGGATTTTAGGAAATAAAATGCTATATATGGCTATATCTATATCTGTGTGTAAACTAATGAAGTTTAGAAATTGTTAAGCAGCTAAAAACTGCTAGACTGTATCTGCTGGACCCTAACCTGAGAAAAAGCAGCCTCCTTTGCCTGCACCACCTGTCAATGTCTGCTCTGCTGTGTTTGCTCACTCTCTGGGCTTCACTGTACGTTTAAATTCTAGCCATAATAAAATGTAACTATTATTCTCTTCAACAGAAAATTCCAATATGCAATTAAATGAGATCCTTTTTAATGATTAAATTTTTCATAGTATAGAATAGTTTTAGTTAGAAACTGAGTTCATTAAATTGAAGGAAATTATATAGTGCTTAGACATGCAAAATGGCAGAGAGAGTAAAGGCTCTTGCTGCCAAGACTAATAACCTTAGTTCAGTCCCAGGATTCACGAGGTGGAATGAGAGAAACAGCTATGAAAATTGCCCTCTGACCTTTACATAAACTTTCTGACACACACACCCACTAAATAAATGCACAAACAAACAAATGTTTATTTATTTTAGTTTTTGGTGTTCAGTTCTTACAAGTAAGAAATTTACCAGGCTGCTTTGTTATCCAAATGCCAGCCAGTAAACAAAGCAATGTTCCATTTTCCTTTTTAAGACAGAGTAGTTGAAGCAAGCTGTTGAGTGTGTCTTCCTTCCTCTACTTCCCAAGTGCTGGGATTCCAGGTGTGCCACGCATACTTAGTTAGAATCAGCTTCTTGACTTGGGCAGTAGAATCTACACTCACTTTAAAGCATCATGCAGAAATGATAGTGTAGCAACCTCACAAGTGCCTTGCCCACATTTCATTGTTACTACTAATCATAGATCCATTGGCCATAGGCCAGATCTGGCTTATCAAAAGAATAGTTGGGGGTGGGGGGAGGCAGCGAATAAGACTGTATTCTAGACCATTCAGCAGCCTTATGCTAGCTACTTCATTTTAGGGTCTCTAAAATCTGAGAAATTTTTTGTGCTCATTATTTATTCAGGCCATCATTTCATCAATTGTATTTTTTCCTTTTGCCAAACTCAGACTCTAATGACCAAACCATCTTTCATTTTAAAAGTTACTATGATGTTTGATTTAGCTGATCATTTTTTTATCTCTTGCTCTTGATATATTAACTTATGTATAGCCGACATTCAGTAGAAATCAGCTAAACATGATGAATATGCGCCGCCAGGACTCAAGCAGATTCCTCTGGTTTTGCTTGTAGACTGTCATCACAGATTTATCATGGTGTTAGAAGGCTATGGTTACTTCATTCTTCCAACCAAAATCAGTCCATAGTATAAGGAACTTTTAAACTTTAATCTAATTGTTTGTTTTTTGTTTGCAGCAAAAGTATTTTGATTCTGGGGATTACAACATGGCAAAAGCAAAGATGAAGAACAAGCAGCTTCCTGCTGCAGCCCCGGATAAGACAGAGGTCACTGGTGACCACATTCCCACTCCACAGGACCTTCCTCAGCGGAAACCATCCCTGGTTGCTAGCAAGCTGGCTGGCTGATTAAAAGAGCTGAACTGCATGAGTCTTCTAATGTCCTTTATTTCTCCTTACTACGTTACTTACCCACTTTCTGTTTCCTTTCACTCACTATGTCATTTGAGACTGACAGCTTTGCAGGTAGTGGTAGTATGTGCTGCTGTTGTAAGGGAGCATACATGTGTAGAGGTTTCAGTTAGTTTAACAGTGCACTGATGCAAAGAACATGTAACAGCAACTTAAGTAATTGATGTTACGATAATTGTACATATTACCTAGCTGGTGTAGGGCTGGCTCCAACAAGTAGCAAGCAAGTTTTATAGCTTTAATATTCTGGCTTTCCTTACTTTCCTCGTAATTACAGCTTTGTATGTTACTCTTATTTAATAGAACCTCTGTTGTATTGATTTCTTCTGTATTTTCTTTTTGAATTTTGTAAGACAGAAGTTTAAGACCACAAGTTGGAAGACAAGTCACATAATTCAGACACAAGTAAATGGGCTGCAAAAGATTTTGAATAACTGCTTGGACTTGACGGCCTTAAACCTGCTGTTCCAGCTTTAACAAGAGCATCTTACCTGGGCGATATTTGCCCGTTCTGGTGTGATTTGTGTGACTCCAATGCTTATTATCAGCTGTCGGTGAAGCTAGTGCTCTTCCTGGGTTCTGCAGTGTTGGGACAGCTTTCTTTGTTGAAGACGTGAATGGGTGTGCATGTGCACTGACTATTGCATTCACTTTTGTGCCATTTTTGTAAATACAATAGTTTTGCACAACCTTTTACAAATGTCTGTATTAATTTCACCATATTAGAAAGTAGATAATGTGCCAACCAGAAGCACAAGACTTCCTACACAAATCTGCCCACCATTACTGCTTTTGTATAAGAATAGTTTACAATCTTGAGCTTATTAGAATACCAAACTGAAATCTACTCAGCCTGATACAGATTTAAGCATTTTCATTTGTTACTAATATTCATGACTTTCAGTGGCCTTGTACAAATATGATATGTTGCTTAGGCATATCTTTTGTTCTATGCAGAACATTTCATTTTGACTCGTACAAAAAATTACAATTCATATAATTTATATAAACTTTGTTAGTGTAGAAACTTTTACTTTCACACTCAACTTTGGGGATACTAAAGTTAAAGGCTTGCATTCTCTACCTTATGTTTTCTTCTCAACCCCCATCTTCTCTTCACTTTGCTTCTGTGACTCGTGTTGGACTCTTCTATTTATATGAGAACATACACATCTATCTTTTTAAACTTGCTTAAATAAAAGGATTTTTGTTACGCTGAGGATCAAACCACTGTCTTCGCACGTGCTTAGCAAGCACTGTATCATGGAACTACACTCTTATCCCTAAGGGAACTTTATAATGAACAAGTAGTTGAAAAGATTGGTCTAGGAAACTATGTCAGGATAAGCTGAATTCTGGTAAATACTTTTAAATAATTAGGATGAACTACGAGAATTGGGCTTATAATAATTACAGGGATTTATGTCATAGGTAAAACATTAAAATATTTAGGTATCTCCTATACTTGTCATTTTAATAAAATATCAGTCTACTTTTACTTGTGTTTTATGTGTTAGTGAAAACATTATCACACTTTATTGGGTTACATTTACTATTCTCTTAGAGCTCTTCCCCCAGGATGTCAGGCATATTGAGCTACAGCAGCCTGAGCTGATATCGTTTTTCTCTTCACCTTGGTCTGGGACGAGACCTACCCCACTATGGAATCCAGGCATCATTTTGTATGGTGGCTACATTTATGCACCTGCTTTCCTATGGTTCCCCACTGGTGATTAGTCCTGCTCCATTCAACCTGAAAGGCAGAAAAGCAATGCACTCTACACTCCACATTGGTAATTTTACAGCTCAGATCTTTGTAAATGGATTTATAACGAGCTAATGGATTATTCTCTAACATGTGCAGTCACCATAGGATAGGTATCTACTATCCTCCACCTCCCCCATTAAGTTCAAACATTAGGTGAATATGAAATTAGAGTGACCATGCTCTTCCTGACCACCAGACTCAGTTTATGACAAAGTGAGCAACACCTGCTTGAGTTTTGATTTGTAAAATAGGACACTGATATTTAACCTACCTCAAGACTTGAGGATCTGTGAAATACTAAGTGCCCCAAATAAACTATCACTATCAAAAGTCAGTTTCCTCACTAAACCAACCTGCCTTCTATAAAGTAGCAGTGCTTAACTAATATCTCAGGATTTTCCACAAGGAAAGGCCTGTTAAGGAGTTATACGGACAGCTGCATAGCTTCCCTATTAAAGGATTTATACGGATAGCTGCATAGCTTCCATTTTTGGTGCTTGAGAGAAGTTTTACATTTTCCTGTGTTTTGTTGTGCTTCAAAGCTCAGTTTATTATAGACATTTTTGCGGGCTCTTTGGTCATTTAGTGAAGAATTTTGATTAAGCTTAATTGTCTGTTTCTATGTCAAAGTTGTGTCCAAGGAATGGCTAGTTTTAATGTTACAGTAAACTGAAGTTCATAAAAATACTAAAGGCAAACTGGCTAAAGTCTAAATCTGTTTTGTTCAGTAGCTCTTAGGAGAAATATTTTGAAGGCTACATCTGACTAACAGTTGCAGCTCATGTCTAGTTGGAATAGCATTTGGATCGACTGGAGGGGGCATGATTGTCGTCTACAAGTTGTTAGACAATCTTGTATTGCTGATCTGGAAACATGTCCAAACTATTCAAGGCAGTCAACAAGGCCTCCACTTGTTATTACTTCCACAGTTAGAATTAGTTGCTCTTTTTACAAGATGTAACCAAAGTATACCTCTGGGTATTGGTAGTCAGACTTGTATTCTTAATCTGAATATCACAAGGTCTTGTCAAAACTGAACTATCAACCCAAACTCCACTCTAGATATAGTATTGGATGGTCAGAAGCAGATAGCTTGTGGGAAGAGCAGTTCTGAATGGTTGCCAAGGCCTTGGCTGTGATGGCTTCAATCACATCCCCCTCCATTCAAATTTACCACTTCATTGTAACCCATTTCCATCACCATGTTTGTCATTGAAGCCCACAGTAAACATTTTCTAAAGCACCATCTTGATCTACTTGGCATGTACTGCAGTCTTACCTGGGTCTCTTTCTCCAACTTCTCACTACAACTTTTAGCAATTGTGATCAAAGGAACTTGTAGTGGTTCATCTAGAGATGATAATTGGATACTCTTAACTTTTGAAGTAGGTAGACCTATGGGTTTCAATTCTATAAATTACTTGTGGTGGTGACACCCATTCATGTATGTTTGTATGGTATTTATCAACTAAATAACAGTAGAAATAATCTAACTCTAGTACCATGCCCTCAAATCTGTCACTGCATCTCCACCATTTGATATGCAATAGAACACTGCCTGTGTGCAAAGGGCCAACATAAATGCCTTTTCTTGTTAAAGATGTCTGTAGAGTTGGCATTTAATGCTGAAGTTTGTCAAATATCTTCCAAACTTACACTTGTAAAATACACCCAAAATAAATGGATCTACCTAATTTTTATTGATTTTAATATGCAGTTTTGTCTTATTTGTTAATCTTTTTCAGTATGTTTTCTGAAGCTAAGTCACTGTGAAGAAATTACTTGTGGTCTTAGATTTTGTTTTAAATGTGTTAATGAAACCCTGTTGTTCTCATCTTGTGTATAAAATGCTCTAGTGCAGTAGTATTAAATACAGAAAGATGAAAGACAGGTAGAAATAAAGTTTTAGGAAGTCTACAGGGCTGAGACTATGGCTTAGTTGGTAGAGTGCTTGCCTACTTAACATACATAAAACCTTGGTTTCAGTTCCTAGCACTTTAAACTGGGTCTTCGTGCACATGTGTAACCTCATCAGGAGGCAGGAAGGAGGATCAGGATTTCAAGGTTATCCTTGGTCACAGCTTAATAAGACCATCTCAGATAAGTTCTAAGAAGTCTATAGGAATGAGTTCTTCAATGTAGAATGAGTGGTAGAGCAAAGTCAAGTTTTCAGGTGGCATTAGAAACCAGTTGCTGTGAAGGTTGAGTGGGAGTTAGAAAAATACATTTTGGGTGAAGGAAGCTTCATTCTCACAAAGACGAGGTGCAGAAAGGAAAGCTTATGTGAGGAAGGTTGGTTGAAAATAGCATGTAAGTAGCTTGTTTATGTTAAATTTGGTCCTCTCTACACTCATACTCACTGAATACCTCCATGATTTCACCAACTCAGGCATTCAAGAACTCTGAATATATCATTTCCCCCTCCTTGGAAGTAGTGACCAACACCCACAAAAACACCCTTATTTATTGCACCATACCCAAAGCCATTAATGCTTTTTGTTTTATTTTTTTGAGGCAGGGTCTCTAGTCCAGCTGGCTTCAGACTTATTCTGTAGATTAGGCTTCATTCAGACTGCTTAGCCTCTTGAGTGTTGGGATTACAAGTATGAACTAGCATTCCCAGCTGTTCCTGCTCTCTGCCATCCTACATTAACCTTCCATTCATTACTATGGAAGCCTCAGTAGCTTTCTTAGACGAATCTTGTTTACTTACGCTTTTTTTTTTTTTTTTCCAGTATTGGGCTCAAGTAATACACTTGAGCATCCTGAATAGTTGAATGCCTCCATACCCGGCAATACAAGCAATTTTAAAGATGAGAGCCTCATATAACCTCTAGAGGTTATGTTCATGGAGCAGTGACCTCCTTCATGGCAGACGACAGAAGAGACCCAGAACCAGTGTCTCCCAAAGCATGTCCTCAGCAACCCACTGCCTCCATAAGGATGCACCATATCATATCGACCTCCTCACAAATCTGTTGGATTTACCTATTAGATAAGAGCTCATGATCAAAGGGCCCTTCTCTGAACACTGGTACTGAATGGTAGACACCTTCCCTAGCAGAGAGGAACAAATTAATCTCTGCATTCTAGTGCTCAATTACTTTCTTCACCTAGTTCTGTATTAGCACCCTGCTTAGGGAATGGTGACACAGTGGATGGATACTTCCCACTTCAATTAATATATTCAAGACAATCCCTACAGATGTGTCCACAAGCCAATCTATTCTAGACAATTCTTCATTAAGACTCCCTTACTATGCGACACTAAATTGTGTTGCCGACAAAACTAACCACACTAATATGCTTTTTAAACCCACGGTTAATTTCTGACCCCCTTCATGAAACACTCTGGTTCAGAACTTAACTGTTTTTCTTACTTTTTAGTTCAACTTCCTGCTTCCTCAAAAGGACATTTTTACTATGACCCTAGCACATACAACTGGTTTATACATAATCAAATACATGGTTGAGGGCTGGGTGAACTGTTGCTTGACTTTAATCTCAACACTTGGAAAGCAGAGGCAGGTGGATCTCTGAGTTCAAGGCCAGCCCGGTCTATATAGTGAGTTCCAGACCAGTGAAGGGGTGTATAGTGAGACCCTGTTTTGGAAAAACACAACTTCCCGGAATAAAAACAATGATGGGGTGTCAGGATGAAAATATAAGTGGGGGACCAGATTACAGACAAATGTAATAAGATACTTGATTCTGGATCTAGGCCCTTAGATTCAGTCTTCAGTGAAGGTGTGCCAAATAATTCTGTTCATGTAAACCCCAGTCTTCACTGAAATTGGTCTACACTCACATGACAGGCACATGTTCATTACTTCTAGTTAGTGGTTAAAATCTTGCATTCTCTATCTGATCAAAACTACTCACTGCTCCATTCCCTCAATAAGTTACTAAATTGGGCGGAGTAGAGCATGGTAAGCTCTTGCTTTCCTTTAGCATCTATAAATGCTAACATTTCTAACTACTTTGTATGTAGGTTATCAGTTATTGAACTACTGTATAGTCACAATAAAGTATCCATATTCATTGTACACCACTAACCTTTCATATTTTCCTCAGTTCTAGGCCAACTTAATAACAATATGGGAAACAGTAATCACTATGACTCCTAGATAAAGATGAGTTTTTAAAAAATCTACTAGTGCTATGGATTGTCAGACTACTGTTAATTGAGACATCTGGCTTGAATGCACTGTATTCTACTGTTTAAGTTGCCAGGCATGTACATTCAAGAGAATCATGTGTAATAGTGTTCTATCATTTTTATTTTAGTATGTTTACATGAAGGTATGTGGCTTAATTGTAAAACACTTGACTAGCATTTTTGAGGCCCTGAATTCAAGTCCCACAATTCTAAAAACTCCATATAAAGTTTGAAGAGCTATTTTTTTCTTCCTTTTTTTTTTTTTTTTTTTTTTTCTTTTTTTTTCCCCAAGACTGGGTTTCTCTGTGTAACAGCCCTGGCTGCCCTGGGACTCACTATGCAGACCAGAGATCCTGCTGCCTCTGCCTTCCAAGTGCTGGGTTTAAAGGAATGTGCCACTACCTCCTGGCTGAAGAGCAACTTTTTACAGTTATTCAACATGTTACTGGTAAGTAAATCTGTTCTGTTACCATATTGCTGTTGATCCACAGTGTGCTTCGTTCTCATGGAGAGCTGTTCTAAAAGTGTCTGAAGCAAAAGAAGGGGGAAGATTTAGTGTGAAGACAGCCATGTACAATGTAGTGGACAGTGCAAACGTAGGACCTGAGGAAGGGCTGCCGATTTGGGAGTTTGTGTCAGTTGTTATTTGGAGAGCACCACTCCCCTAGAGAAGGAGGTGCCTGTCTGAGGCAGAGGAATGCAAGAAGAGTAACAAATCATTTTAAGATCATTTAGCAAGGAGGAACATAACCCTTTTGAGAGACTGACATATAACAAGATTCCAGTTTGAAAGAGTTGTTTTTGCTGTTAAATGTTTGGAAATGTTTTAATTGAGTTTGCATTAGTGATCTTTGTACCAGACCTTTTCTTTTGAGCCACCAACCAGCTCCCAAATGAGTTTTGAATGCCTGGCCTAGCTTAGGCACATTTCTGGCTAGCTCTTTTAACTAAAATTAACCTGTTTCTCTCTACTACCTTTTGCCTCGGGGCTTATTACCTTTCTTGTTTATTTTACTTACACTGCTCCTTTTCCCTCATTCTCTCCTCTCTTCTCTTGTTCTTCCTCTTCTTCGTTCTTTTGTATTTATTCTTTCTGACCAACAGCCCTACCTATCCTTTCTCCTGATTGACTATTGGCCATTCAGCTTTTTATTAGACCAATCAGGTGCCCTAAGGCAGGCAAAGTGAAACAAATGCAACAACACATCTTTATATTACTAAACAAATGCAGCACAAACAAAATAACACACCTTTACACGGATAAAGTAAGAGTCCTCAGCATAAACAAACGTAACACATCTTTGCCTAGTTAAGAAATATTCCACAACAGATCTTTCTGATACTATAACAAGTAATTGAGATAGTCAGTTTATACAGATGGGTTCATAATTTTGGAGGTTTCAGTCCATCATCATTTGCCCCATAGCTTGAGGGTTTGGGGGGGGGGGGCTTGTAGCAAAGCAGAAACTGGTCAGAGTGGGGAAACGAGTGAGGAGGGGTCCTGGGCCCCACAATCTCCTTTGTGGGCATGTCTCCGATGACATAAAATCTCCCATGAAAACCCACCTCTTCAGTTCCCACCATCTCCAATAACCAAGCAAGCTGGGGACCAGCCGTCTTAATTCATGAGCTCTAGATTCAAACTGTGCCTGTCATGGACAAAATAGAAAGTGAAAAAAAAAAAAAAAAGAGGTATTCTTGACTTGACCTGCCAGGAAGCAGTAGTGACTATTAGAGAGTGTTGCCCCTTGGTCAAAGCTGACTGTTCAGAAATATGTTTGTTTAATCCCTTTAGAATTTACACTTGCACCCATTTAAAAAAAAAATTAAGAAAGCAAAAATTCAAGAGAGGCAAGAATTGAGATGGAGACCAGTCTTGGCATGTCTTTGAAAGTGTTAGAAGGTGAGTCACTAGAGGTGAGACTGACCGAGGAGGGGAACACTGAAGGAGAGTTCCTCCTATGGCAGGCCTATCTGGGAAGGGATAATGTGCTAATTAATAGAAGTGTGCTTGAAAGAAAAAGGATTGGCTCAGGGACCCCAAGACCTGTTTTTCAGACCAAGTTCTCATCACAAAGGAGATGTATTTGCGACAGAGGGACAGATGGCAGGGATAAAGGACAAAGACAGGAGATAGAGGGAGAAGGGGAAGGAAACAAGGGAGAGGGGGTAGGGGTATTTGTCCTGGAGGAACAGAGGACTGCCTCTGGGTAGAGAGGAGACAGATGTGGCACATAAGAAAAAGGCAGTTTATCAAGGTCTAAGGAGAAAGCTGGTGTTAGAATAAGGTGTTTTATTTTAATTGGGCGTGCTAATTAGGTGAATCAAAGGGAGCTTTTGATTGCTGAATTTCAATACTTTGATAGCTGGGACCTTGATAGGCAGCCTCCAAAAGAGGGTTTGGCCAAATAAAGGTAGGATCTCAACCCCTGTGCCTGGTCTTGGGATTCTTCTTCCTAACACCTAGACCATGAACCTAACAGTTTCAAATGCATATCCAAGATAATTTTTTTTCTAAGCTCCTTAACTTCACCTCTGTCCCTAGTCTATT